TGAAGAGGATTGGTTCATTGCTTACCTAAAAAAGGCACACAAAAAAACAATGAGGCAACAAGTCAAGCACATGTTTCCAGTTTTAATCTAACAAATGTACAAATGTTTTACAACAATTTACAAAATATTATTTATCGTTTAAAGTTGGAAAGTGGATGAAACTGGTATTACTACAGTTTAAACACGAGATCATATTGTAGCAAGAAAAGGTTTTAAACAAATTGGGCGTGTTACTTCGGCTGATTAAATTAGTTCCATTGGCTTGTACCCCAAACAACATCAAGGCTGGTTTTGAAAAAGCAGGAATTTTCACACTAAATGTTAACATTTTTAAGAAACACGACTTTATGCCAGCTTTTACCACAGATAGACCAACTCCAAAACAAGACTGTGCTGTGTAAAGTACAGCGCTAAATACAAGTAATGTATCATCGCTAAATATAAGTAATGTAATAAAAAAAATTTGAGTTAATAAAAGAAATGAAACTACATCAATTCTTACAGGTTCACCAAATAAAAATGTTTTAAAAATAGAAAAAGAATCAGCTAAAAAGAAAAAGTTAGCAATTGAAGAGAGAAAAAAAGCAAAATAAGTTAAATAAAAATTAGTAAAAGATCAACTAGTAAAGGAAGTATACATATATATAGAAAAACATATAGGAAAAAAGATTGAATCATTTAAAAAGCTCTGTAAAAAAGGAGTGTTTTTTTTTTTTTTTTTTGTGTAGAAATGTTTTCTAAAAGCAAACCAGAAGAATTCTGGATTCAATGCACCCAATGTCACCTTGAGCTCACGAGTCATGCATAATCGGAAGTTCTATGTTTTTCATTTGCAATAAATGCTGCTAGCCGATTTGAAACTTAATTAGTTGAAAATAATTATATAATAAAATAATATACTTTTTAATTCTTATTGTAATATTGTTTATTAATAATTATTATATTTATATTTACTCTTTTGCTTTAAATGTTAAAATTAAAATGACTTGATCAAAAAATTTGATGATATTGATAAAAGTATATTTATATTTATTGCAATATTATATTACCACGCTTTTTAAACTTTAGTTTTTGTTATTTTGAGTCAACTTACCCCTTGAGTATAAGCAACTTACCCCGTGGTAGGGTAAGTCGGCACAATTTTTTTTTTTTAGAGTTTCCGGGAAAACTAGAATTTTTTTTGTAAATGAATGCAACTTTTATAAGTTACCCAGCTCATATTCTTTAAGACTTTAATATTTCCAAAAAATATGCTGTAAGGGCTACATAGGTCATAGAGTAAAAACCGAGTTAACTAGTCCCGAACTCCTCTACTTCTTTATTAGATAAGCTAAATACTGAAAGCATTCTTCTTATGAGAAATTGTTATATGAATCTTCTGAGATATAATGAATCAAATCCTATTTTTAAATACCTAAATTCGTCAACCTACTTTTCTCAACACCCTGCTATAATTTTAATAACAGTTAAATCACAGACACTTATTGATAGCATATTTATAAACATCTGACCATATACCTGACCATATATAAAACAAGCTAACTCATTTTTCATTGATCCTGTTACTAAAAATGAAATCTCTAACATCATTTAAACCTCTCTTATAACTGGTAAATGTTTTAATCCTACAATCCTTTTAATCCTTTTAATCCTAGTCTTCCTACATTCTTTCTAGAA